CTGGGGACATGTATACTCCCTATCAGACCCAGGCTAGTCTTCATTTGGCTTGGATGAAATCCTGCAAAAGTGGAAAGAGTTTGCAAATGCCTTGGTACTATAAGTAACTAAAAGAATATTATTAAAACTAATATTTAATTAAAAGAAATCACTGCAGGAAAATATTTTTGACCCACATTGGGCACTATGACTAAATTATAATATGCTGCTAAAATATGATTCTTTCCCAAGTCTGAACATAATCTTAATTAAGGATCTCAGAGAGAGCAGGTATGCCTTAATTAAAATTCCACATATAAAAGTAAAATTGCTAATCTGACCACCCCATATAGAAGTCTATATATGACTCTGTACATTGCAGGAACTTTTTAGAAAGTGTATTTGCATAACCACAAACCAAAAGGTACCAACTGGGCTATTTACAGGAATATTTAAATTAGTTATAAGAAGGGATAATCAGTGCATAGCTTGTATTTTGCAAAGCATGCAATTTTTAAGTCAGATCTCAGAATAATAAGGAAATTGATTCAAATCACTTAGACAATAATATATTTTCAATGTGAGATACAGATCTTCCAAAATATTTAAAAGTTTCCACTAAGATCAAAGAAAAAAAAACAAAAAACCAAACCCAAAACTAAACCAAATCAACAAAAATTTGAGCCATAAAACAGTTGTTACTTTAAAGATGCACTCAAGGTGGCATTAAGTGCTTGTAATTTAAACTAAGAAAGGGAAATTTTCTTTATCATTCTTTATCATTCAGGAGGGAATATCACATTTACCATGGCTTAGGGATTTTCCACAGCTATACTTAGAGGAGATGGACACCACCTAGAAAGTGAGTTTGGCCTTTTTCAAAATGTGTAATTCCACTCTTACTTTTCAACTTCACTTCTAAATCAGAATATGAGTCATTCCATATTTCACCCTGAGGCACACAGGTGTGTAAGTTGTAAAGCCCTACTGAAAAGAATGTGCATATACAATTGCATCCATAGTTAACAGCCTGGAATAGCAACAGTGGTTTCCCCACCACTGTTGTATTCCCCACCACTGTTCCCCACAGGAGACAGAAAGGCTACCAAAGTGCATTGTGTGAGAATAAAAAAGGCGATCCTTAGGTCAGTGATCTTTTATAGTTGCCCAGAGAGAAGAACAGTGAGGAAGACAGCCTGCTGCCTTATCCACCCAGGGCTGTAGCTGGCTCACCGAGTGCCTTAAGTGCTCCTGGACGAGCGGCTACTTAATTTACAGTACTGCAGTTGCTTATACATATGACTCTGTGAAGATGTTCTACCTTCTACTCTAATCCATGTGGATAATACTAGAAAGAGAGCTTTTTATAAGTGCTTCTTAAGTGCTTCTAAGGTTAAAAAAACCTTGTTTCTAGCCTTTCTCATATTGTCTGAAGACATCACATCTTTTCCTCCCCAATAAAATTAATTTTATTCTTTTTTCTTTTTTTCTTTTTTTTCCTTTTTTTTTTTTTTTTAAGAGAGACAACTGTATTCAACTTAAAAGATCACCAGAAACTTCAGGGGCTGGGAGAAGGAATGTCCTAAGGCCATGTAGGAGAGGATCAGGTTCAAGACCATCTAAGGAACTTGAATGTGCACAAGTCAATGGGACTAAATGAGATTCATCTGCGTGCCCTGAGGGAGCTGGAAAATGAAGGTGCTAAGGCTATCCATCATTTTTGAAAAATTTTGGCAGTCAGGTGAAGTTCTTGATGACTGGAAAAAGGGAAATATAAACCCCATTTTTTAAAAGGGGAAAGTGGAAGACCCAGGGAACTACAGACCAGTCAGTCTCACCACTGTATCAGGCAAGATCATTGAGTAGGTTCTCCTGGAAACTGTGCTAAGGCACATGGAAAACAAATAGATGACTGGTAACAGCCAATATGGCTTCACAAAGGGGAAATTATGCCCAAAAAGTCTGGTGACCTTCTGTAATGGTGCTACAGCAATGGTGGATTAGGGGCAAAGACACTGACATCATCTACCTGCACTTATGCAAAGCTATTGACACTGTCCTGCATGACATTCTTGTCTTCAAACTAGAGAGACATGAATTTGATGGATGGACCACTGTGGATAAAAAACTGTCTGGATGGCCACACAGAGAGTTGTGGTCGATAGCTCTTTGTCCACGTGGAGACCAGCGACGAGTGGTGTCCCTCAGGAGTTGGTACATGGGCTGATACTGATCTTTGTCAGTGATGGACAGTGGAATCGAGGGCACTCAGAAAATTTGCTGCTGACACCAACCTGTGAGATGCAGTCACACACTGGAAGGAAGGTACGGGCTGTCCAGAGGGACTCTGCCTGGTTTGATAGGTGGGCCAATGCAAACTTCATGACGTTCAGCAAACATGCCTCCTACCCCACAAACTCAGCAACAGACCATTCTCAGGAGGTCTCAATGCACTACAGTGTAAAGTACAGGTTTTATTTTGATGTCATTACAGAACATTTAAATTATCTTTAGCTAAAAAGACTGTTTACAATAAATAATTCAGGAAGTTTCTACAAATTACTGCCTGGGCCAAAACTTAGTTTACAATGTGAAGAATAGTCTTCAGCTAAAATTGTTCAGAGATAGGCTGTGCACTGAAATATTGCTGCTTCCCAAAATCATAAATTTTATCCCCGTGATAGTGAACTCTACTCTCTGCATATTCTGCCTGTTTCTCCTTGTTTTGTTTTGTTTTGTTTTGTTTTGTTTTTTTGTTCTACCTAGCAGGTAGAACAAAGGTCAGGAATTCTGATTTAAAGCAGTTCTTCTCTCTTTTTAACACACTGAATCCTATTATGTCAATAACCTACGATTTCTTAGCAAAATAATTAATTGTTTTGTTTCTTATTAGGCAATTCTAATAATGCAGAAAGGTGGATCTTCAGCTTTATACTGAGAATACTACAGATGTGTGTATGAAAAAGCATGACAGGCACCTAAGGTCAGAATTTCTGCCTATAAAGCATTAAATAAAAGTCTTATCAAGACATCAATATCGGTGTAATAAAATTAGTAGTACTATAAGTAAATCTGCTTGTCCTCTTTAGTCCCATAATATTATAAAGATGTTATGAAGACCTACAGTACCACCCAAGGAGTTTACTAATTTGGAGGCTGTCCTTAAATCTTCTGGGGTTTGCAGAGGTGGAAATTGAATAATTCCCTC